TGAGCCTGATGGTGTTCGGTCACCAAATTGTGACCCGGAAGTCCCGCGATTCGAACCGCTCCACCGCCATCGCTTGTTTTCCCCATTTCTGTATCCCCCCCCCGTCCCAACCCCCTTCCTGAAAGTTGACTGCACATTTGTATATTCAATAAATAAAACAGGAAGTATAAAGACATTTTGTGTTTCATTTTCATTTGAGTAATTCTTCTCTTCTTATTGAGGGTATGCAGACGATATAACATTCGAACTGTCCTACTCCAACCCATCATCTCAGACCACTCTACAAAATGACGTAATTTTTCCCTGTTGAAAGTTTAAAATTATGATAGGCTGTCAAATGCCAGCCCGTCTTTATCTATTTTCAATGACCAAATGGACTGACAACCGTCTGTCAAATACCTTGGCACTATTTTCAACTGTAACCTCACCTGATCTGACCACATCAATACCGTTTTTATGAAGGTCAGGAGGTTCACGTGTTATGCTTTACGTTTTAAATCACTTTCTATCTCAAATCATCTCATCAGAGATTTTGTTTTTTCTCATGTTTTATTTACGCCACTGGCTTTATCGGTTCCCTGTTATCTAGCCCGCGGTTTTTTCAACAAGGACCACAAACTCATTTCCCGATCCCTCAAGTTTCTGTCGTCATATATATATATATATATATATATATAGTCTTACACCACGGGAACATCTGGTACAATACGTGGTGGCACACCAACTCAAAGCCTGTAAAACATTATCCAAGATGATTGTTTCCATCCTCTATAGCCTACTTTCAGTCAGTGCCTTTCTTATTCATCTACCCGTTCTAAATTATAAAAAAACTTAAAACAAGAACACACTGAGGTTTACAGGCATGCGATTGTTCCGTATTTCGCCAGATTTCTCACAAACTATGAACGTGTTGAGGGAAACCTACTAGGGATATACATCAGAATTAGTGATATATACCACGGTGTACCCGTGGCTTTCCGTTATTGTCCATTTATTATCAATTACCTAATTACATTTTCCAATTATTTGACACACTCGTGTGGTCGCTGAATAGTATTCACCCCTCGGGATGCATACTGCGATTTATTGGCTTGATTGAACCGATGCAAGTTGAATGACATCACCGGGGATAGAGTTCGGTGTATGGAGATGTGTAAAACACACATCGATCGATCGATAAGACGGATTTCACGGACAGTCCAATCTGATTAAAATTCTTAGTTCGAAAGTGAAAATCAGTCCAAGATATCGGCCGACCAAGAGGAGATCGATGAACAAAATGATACGGCGATCGGTTGTGAAGCGGACGGAGTCCATGCATTGATCATGGCACTAATCTAGTTAAGTACTACTCTAGTGAGTGAGTGAGAGAGAGGGAGAGAGAGAGAGAGTTACCACGACACAAAACCTAATATGGAGAACAATATGGGCAGTGGGACGAGCGACCAGCAAGACCCAGAACATTCGTTTGACAACTACGCGTCAGCATATGTGTCCGACCGATCACTTATTTCGATTGTGGTATACAATCATGTTAATACAGAGGATCATCGATTTTCGAGCGTCACTGGACTGTCGCATTGAATACAACCTGGTCGGTAACTCCATGACTAAACTAATCCAGGGTAAGAAAGATTTGGTGTCATAAAACCGTGGCACTCGTACTTATGCTCAGTTTCCACACAGATTCAGTTCATCCCCATTATGTGCTCTTATATAATTAGCGCTAGCGACGTTTTCAATCTTCGACTCGCTCTTTCCTCACTAGCCGACCAAATTGGAAACCGAAACGGTTGCACAGATGGCAATGACGGATGGTGGTGATTTGAACTCTATGGTCCGAGCCCCGCCAGCGACAACCGACTTTATCATCCGGTTCAATACGACGCCTAATCTAGCGCGAGGCTTTATCTGGTTCGCCAATCCAAGTCTCGCGAGGTTTAGGTTGCCGATTTCTGCTACTGAACAGCAGGTCCTCGTGACTATCGGGTTCGCCCCGTCTGCTATTTATCACACTTTAGGTGTGTAATTTAGAAAAAAAAACAAAGGGTTAGACCAAACTGTTGATCATTATCTGTGGCAAAAACCGCACGCGATCAGTACGATTCAAACACACTGGAAGGCTTCCGGTCCAATTTCCACCACATATTCTGGGCACTATATTCGAAAAGTCAACGATACTGATTTCCCGTATCACACCATGATCATGTGTATATCGAACTCCCTCCCCCAGAGAGGGAGAGGTGACGATAACGATTGCACTCGACATGGTAAAATACATACTGCATGTTCCGCACCAGTCTGCCTCTCGGTCTGTCTGACTAGTAGTATCTGCGATTCCTATACAAACTCCGAACCCCCGGTTCCCTGTATCCGTTTTCGCATTCATCCAAAATTTGCCCATAAAATATATACTGCTCAAGAAATGCAAGTAGTCAGTACACGGGCACAAATGAGGCTCGCGAGCAACGTGAATAATGGTGACGGGGATGGTGGGTTTTGTCCACAGACAGTATGGAAATAGACGAGCGAGTGAGCGAGCAAGGGATGTGGAAGGGAAATACACATATGTAGAGAGAGAGAGAGAGGCTGATCAATGTACGCATATATCACAAACTATCGATCGGGGATGGGGTTCGAAAATGCATACGCGCGCGCGCGCGCGCGCGCACACACACACACACCGACAGATAGACAGACAAACAGACACCACACAGTGTGCTAAGATGTATTCACGAAAAGTGTCAGCGAGAGAACAGCAAGGGATCCATGCAGAGCGGTAGCAACCGAATGTCGAATACGCCATACACACCCAAGAAAATAAAACTGGTTGTCAAATTCCAGAAAATTGAGGATCAGAGAAACAGGGGATTGAGAAAGAATTCGGTGCGAGATCGAGAGAGCAGATAAGAATGGAACACCGTGTGCGAAGTAGTGCGAATCTCCAGGACAGAACGAGGAGTGTGGGGGTCGTACACACACATGCACATAGTAGTGTTCCGCAATTAGTAATCATAATCCAACCATGTAATATCCTATCCTGTCGTTGGGTTTACGCGGTCTGCTCAAAACGCACGCGCGCGCGCGCGTGCCGGGTGGTGTTGATGTTGGTGAGGACAGGTTAAAAAACACCATATTTTATCCGTGAGGTTCAGATGAAGTGAATTACAATGAGAAGGGGATGAAATAGAAATGAAACTATAGTGACAGATATGAGTGAGCGTCGAAAGTGTGGTTTTCAATCAAACGATTTTGTTTGCTTGCTTGTTTGGTTGACTGAGTGACTGACTGAAAACAGCGAGCGCCCTAGACAGCCCGGAAGGGAAAGAGAGAAAAGGACTACCTGATGTGGGTGGCAAGGAGGATCGGCTGAATTAGCCAAAGAAGAGGCTGTGGCAGATTAGTTGGATTTTTTTCTTGTTAGAAATTGGGTGGGGTGGGGGATGGGAGGAGAGGCGGTTAGTCGGTGCGTTGTTTGTTACTGTTACCATCATCATTTGGATCGGTATCGTCATCCACATCTCCGCATCCGTATTACCATGATAATCAATAAAAAGACATGGAACAAATTCGGGGTGCAAAAAAGGGTTGTGCACACCGACAGACAGACAGACAGACAGACAGACAGACAGACAGACAGACAGACAGACAGACAGACAGACAGACAGACAGACAGACAGACAGAC